ATATGGACCATATATTTATAGTGAAGAATTAACCACTATATGAGTTAGCTAATAGATAGGCTATAAGTAAGCAGCTGGCTGTATTATTATCCTTGCTCTAAAAACAACGTGTGCTCATGTGCGCTATCCCCGGGCCAATTAAGCGTCCAAATCATGGCCTTCTGTGGCCTTCTCATCATCGCCCGACCGCCCTATTCCCCTTCCACCTCAGCTGCCATCCCTTAATTTGTTTTTCTCCAGGGCATTTTGTGTCTACTGCTGCAACCAGCTGAATGAAATGTGCAAGATACAGGTCAAATGGACCAAATAATGTACTGTGAACTAGACGATATATTAGTGTGAGAATCTCTATAAAGTTTACATAAGCAAATCAATGAAATGAGATTAGAAGATATTGGATATAGTAACTTAAATCTTAAATCAAATCAGCATGAACTAAAATATATTTAAAAAAACATGACATAAAGGAACTAATGATCGTAATATATTGGTAGCATCGATAATTATAGGTCCATTTAGCAAGTCTTATTAGTTGTTTTTAACAGAATGTTAACACGGCGTATAGTTATATGTTAGTGCAGAATTGGTGCCTAATCGACCTCTGGATTAAATAGAGATAATTATGGCTAAAAAGAGGAATAAATGCAAGCGATAATATGTATAGTAATGATACAATATGAGCCAGTCAAGTTGAATCCAATTGTTTTTGAAGGAAGGCAAAAGTTTTGCCCTTTATATATTAATAGAGCAGGAGAAAATTATAGCGAGATATATATAGGGTTAGATGAAAAAAAGCAAAACAAATAACCCGCAAAAAGAGAGGCAAAACGCAGGGATTAAGTGATATCTCCCAAAATTTCGAACTCCTGGAGGATTGAAGCCCCTGCTTTGACCCATGCTCTCCCTTCCTCCTTGATCTTTGCTGAGGATGGCGTAGATGCATTGTTGCGGAAGATTCTTGCGTTTCTTTTGCACCAGATTTCCCACGAGATTAAAATCACCAGGGTCCTGAGAGGCTTGCGTGGGGTGTTTGGAGATTCCGTTACGAGTGTCCACCATTGCTCGACTGACTGATAGTTTTCCCAATTGTCCATCTGAAGGTCAGTCCCGGTCCATCTCTGCATTTCTGCCCATATCCTCTTTGTGAGTTTGCATTTGGCCAGGAGATGCAGGGCCGATTCATCAACATTGTAGCAAAGTGGGCAAATCTTTTGGTTTTGCCATCCTCTTTTTCCAGCCTGTCTGCCGTCCATACTCTATTTTGCGTTACCAGCCAAGAGAAGAACTTGCACTTCGGCGGTGCCCATGCCTTCCAGATTGACTGATAGAAGGTAGATTTGGCAGCCCCAAGGAATTGTAGTCGATAGGCCGATTTTGCCGAGTACTACCCATTTGCTGTGAGGTTCCATCGGATGCTGTCGTGGTTTTCGCTTAGAGGCCTCATATCCCTGATCATTCTCCAGAGGCGGACATACTGTTGGAGGTGATTCGCCTCGGAGATGCAAGAGACATCAATGTCTCGTATCCACTTGTTTTCTGCTAAGGCATCATGCACAGTTCTATTCTTTCTTCTAGAGGCCACGAAAATATCTGGGGCAATCAATTGCGGAGTTTGATTGTCTAGCCATTTTGAGCTCCAAAAGCGTGCAATTTTGCCATCTCCCACCGTTATTGTTGTTGCGGCCGCGAAGAGGTCTTTGTCTAGCTGATTGCATGGTAGCACAGATCCCACCCAAGGTTTATCCGACGCCATCCATTCGTTCCAAAGCCATCTTAGCCTTAGAGATGATGCGAAGTATTGTAGGTTCATAACACCTAGGCCACCCAAATCTTTTGGCCTGCAGACCCTTTTCCAGTTGACTTTACATTTTCCCCCCGACATGTTTTCGCCCCCCGCCCAAAGGAATTTCCTTCTTATTTGTCCAACTCCTCTAGGGTTCCGTCTAGTAGCTTTAGTGATGTTAGGTGGTATATGGGCTGCTCCATGAGGACTGATTTCGTCAGGCAGATTCTAGCGGCGGTCGACATCATTTTGCCTTGCCAAGGAGCGAGACGCGCTTTGCACTTGTCCATTAAGGGCTGAATGTGGACCTTCTTGAGCCTTCCAACCACGAGGGGTAGGCCAAGGTATTTCATTGGGAAGTTTGTTAGGCCTGTTGGGAAGATCCCAATGATGCTGGAGAGATCAATGCTATCACACCGGATAGGCGCAATTTGGCTTTTGTTGAGGTTTGTTCGGAGGCCCGTCACTTGCCCAAAATCACTTAGAATGCCAGTGAGATTTGTCATGTCTTGGACACTTGGGTTCACGAATATGGCCACATCATCTGCATAGAGGAAGGTTCGAAATCTGGGAGCTCTTCCGCGAAGAGGGGACATGTGTCCTAATTCTGTTGCTTTCTCTAGAAGGTGGTGGAGTGGGTCGATGGCTAAAATAACTAGCAGCGGCGAGAGGGGGTCACCCTGCCAGAGGCCTCTTCCATGCTTTATAGGTGATCCTGGGCATCCATTGAGGAGGACCCTTGTTGTCGATGAGGCTAGGATGTTTGAGACCCAGTTAGTCCACCGAGATGTGAAGCCTTTTCTCTGGAGGAGGTCGATTAAGTAATCCCATCTAACCGAATCAAAAGCTTTGGTTATGTCGAGCTTCAACAGAAGATTCGGCGTTCTCGTTTGGTGGAATTTTCTTGTCAGATTCCTCACATACATAAAGTTGTCATGTGTGCATATTTTCTTTATGAAAGCACTCTGGGCATGACTAATCAAGATCCCCATGTGAGGCTGCAAGCGCAGTGCAAGTACCTTTGAAATTAGCTTCCCAACTCCGTGTATGAGACTGATCAGCCTGTAGTCTCCTACGCATTCAGCTCCCTCCTTTTTCGGGATGAGCACCACATTTGCTGAATTGAGGATCGAGAAGTTATTACTTCGTAGCCGGTCGAAGGAATGAATGACCGCCATGATGTCATCTTTTATCGTTTCCCAACAGGCTTTATAGAAAGCACCTGTGAAGCCGTCCGGACCAGGCGCTTTGTCGCTGGGAGACTGTTTAAGTGCCACGTGAACCTCCTCTTCCGTGATGGGGCCACTAATTACGGAGCTGTCGAAAGTCGGTAACTGCAGGGCGTCCCAGTCAAGATCTTTTGAGCGTGGAGCTGGGTGTGCCATGAAGGTCTGAAAGTGCTCTTTTATAACAGCAGCTTTTTCATCGTGTTTTACTTTCCACATGTTTCCCACTCGTAGCCTCTGAATGAAGTTTTTTCTCTTTCTTGCATTCATCCTCAAATGAAAGAACTTCGTATTTGCATCCCCCTCTTTGAGATTGGTGATTCGTGTAGCTTGTGTTCTACGGGCTCTTTCCACCACTGCAAGACCCAACACTCTGTCTTTAAGGTTCCTTCTTAGCGTGAGTTCGGCTTGAGTGAGTTGCCTTGACTCTTGGTATATATCAAATTGAAGAATAATCTCGAGCGCCAAGTGTAAATGAAGCTTCCCCTGCGAAATCAATTTTTTGCTCCACGATCTTAGTCTTTTGGCCGTACATCCCAATTTGTGAAAGATTCTATGGTGAGGTTCATGATGGGGTTGGGGGGCTGTCCAGGCTTCTTGTACCGCCTCGTGGAAGCCTGGGAGCTGGATCCAAAAGTTCTCGAACCGAAAAGTTCTCGATCGTGGGGCCTCCCCTTGTCCGGTTAGCATTAGCGGACAGTGGTCTGAGAGTAAGGTGGATAGGGCATGTAATAGATGTCTCTCGAATGTTGTGTCCCAGCTAGCGTTGCAAAAAAACGGGTCCAGTTTGACGAGGGTTGGGTTGTCTTGTTCATTACTCCAGGTGTATCGCCTATTCTGAAGTGCAACCTCCTTGAGCTCGCAAGCGTTGAGGGTTTCTTTGAAAATTCGCATTTGTCTGCGATTGAGGTTTGCATTGTTTTTGTCGGAAGCCTTGTAGATTATGTTGAAGTCTCCGAGCACCAGCCATTTTGAATTGTCAGATGGCTTGGTGTTCCGCGGTTCTCTCAGGAATGTTTGCTTGGCACTCTCTCTGGTTGGCCCATAAACAGCCGTAAGTAGGAAGGTGGTCTGACATTCTTTTAAGGAGACTGTGGCCGAAAGCGAGAATGTTCCTTGCACAAAGTCTTTGAGCTCAGCAAAATCCTCATTCCAGAGGATCAGGATGCCACCTCTTGTTCCTAGCGGTCCTGTCGCTGGCTTGAATTGAAAAGATTTTAGGCGTCCCCCGCCAAGGGAATGTACCAGTCTGGCATCAATGTTACTCATTTTTGTTTCTTGAAGGCAAGCGATATGGGGTTTGGCTTCTTGAAGAGTCTCTCTCATTGTCGCTCTTCTGGCCGGTCTATTCAAACCTCGGACGTTCCAGGAGAGGATGTCTATGATCGGGTATGTCATGTGTAACCAGTATTTCTCAGGGGGGAGTTGTGCACGAAACCGAGGGGTGACAGCCGTGTCGGTGCTATCAGGCTAAAAGGTAGTCGGCCCAATCTAGTTGGTCGATCTGGCTCATGGACCGAGGCCGAGTCCATTTGCACGAAGTCCAGCCGGGGGGAGATGAGCCTAGGCCGGAAGACATGTTGAGGGCCCCCAGGAAATTGGGCCGGTTTGAGAAGACCTTGGCCTGAAAAGACTTGGGCCGGGGATGCCTGATGCTGGAGGTGGAGGGCGAAACTGATGGGGATGACAGCCGCGCGTATTGCAGCGCTGTGCGTCGCCCCACGTTGTGCCCGTGGCAGCGCCGTTTTTGTACCACACCTAGCATCGAGGGCGGTAGGAGGAGACGTGAGGGCGAAACAGCAGCCCAGTCGTCGACAATCGCAGAGAGTGCTATCGTTGGCGCCCTTAGAATTGCGTCGTTTGTGCTGGCCGTCAGCGAGGCATGACGGCCGTGGGGGTTTGCTGGCGTCATCGCCACAATTGGCTAACATTGTCGATGTTGTTTGGGTGCGGAGTTGCGGCACCGAGTAGGGAGAGGCTGATTCGCGAAGTTGCTGCGAATAGCGGAGTAGCAATGTCTGGCGATGCCGCCCCTCTTAACGGTAGCGCGCGTCCGAGTCTCACGCGGATACGAAGGAAGCAAAGGAAATCGATACATGGAGACAGAGGACTCCGTTTGCCGGTGCGCAGAGCACAGCTTGCTCACGCCGCAGCAATCTCCTCCTGGCAGCCAATGTCAGAGGGGCCTAGGTAATTCGCCAGAGCCATGTCCGCCGCCTTCGCGTCTTCCTTGTCAAAGCCGACCAGCTGCACTAGGGCGTCGATTGCGTCTTGTTGAACATCGCTTTGAAGTCGGCGAGTGCCTTGTCGGTGAGGACTCCTTCCGTTGGAACCGTACCCAGGCGCCGGCAGAGATTGAGCTGCGCCCGCAGCGACATCGGTAGGCCAGCCATCGGCTGTCGGGCCAGCCTTGGACTCCTCTGCCGTCCTTCACCCAGCATGTCAGCAGTCACTGGAATTGGAACGACCTCCAGTGCATCATCAGGGGGGATCGGCACCTGCGTGTCTCCGGCGATGTCGATCAGCACCTGCGGCGTGGAGAGGATTGCTGGGGGAAGTTCTTTGAAGAGGACGTGTGGCGGGGTTACCTAAATGGAGTCGAATTCGGCGATGTCAGGCGCCGGTGCTGTCTCGGTGTCCTTGGCCGGGGACGAGCCATTCGTCGCAAGCGCGTCTTGAAGAGTTGGCGCCGCAGCGCACTCAGCGTTCAGGGACAGCAGCGTCTTTTCTGTGGACGCGATCGGCAATAGCTTCCTTGTAGTCGAACTGATCGTCGCCAGCGACGCCATGGCTGTCACCATCGGTGATGGCACCGCAGCATTTGCGGCGGGTTTGTCGAGCGCCACCGGCGCGGCGAGCTTGTCAAGCGCCACCGCCACACCGGCCGTAACTAGCATCTGCCGCAGTGCCCCTTCCGCCGAGGCTGCCGCAACGGCCTCGTTGATGCGGGCGAAAACCCGCGCCGCCGGGATGGACGCAGCGGACCGGGCTTCATACCCCGCTCCATCGTGCGGACGACGCGGCGGGAGCAGAGGCCCCTTGTCGAACGGGGGCGATGTCAGGTGAGCATTCCGTGCCGAGGACGATGCCGCAACGGTCGGAGTGAGGGCCGCTTGGGGGGAGTCGCCGTTTCCGCAGTCATTGTCCCTGTCTTCCTTGTCACCGCAGCCAGCCTGATGACGCCGCCCGTCGCGCCGCCTTGTGTCGCCACGGTCACGGGCGCGCGGTGAGCGCGTGCGTTCGCACCGGAAGTTAACGTCCAGGCCGCGGATGCCACCTCGCCCGCATGTGACATCACGTCCCCTGTTATCGCGATCGTCGTCGTAGTCGTTGTCGCGCTGCCCGCCATGGTGGAGATCATCGTCTGGGTGATCGTTGTTGTATCTCCTGTTACGGCCTCTGCGCCTGTCTTGGCCGCCACGATTATCGCGGCTGTCGTGGCGCCTGTCGCGGTGTTCCTCGCCATGGAGTCGTTCACCATCACGATCAATGGCGTCCCGGACTGTTCTGCTTCCTTGGTCGCGAGCCTCCTGTTGGAGAGCAGCGTCATTGTCCTCCACGCCTTCCGCGCGGCCGTGGCGGAAGGTATAGGTCAGCGGCGGCGGCAGATGGTGAGGGAAATATTCAAAGAGGCGCGGCGGGGGGCGCTCACCGTCCAGAACGCCCAAGTGCCATGACGGCAGAGTGCGTGTCACCGGCCTGCAGGACTTAGGATTGCGGAGGTCGACGGCCACCGCGGTGTAATCGTGGATCTCCTCGATGTGGAAGAGGACTAGATGCTTGACCCCCTGTTGCCAGTGCTCCGGCGGCATCTCCAAAATCGTGATCGATTCGAGGAGAGGGTCGCGGGTTTGGCGCGCCACACGCGCTTGTGGATGCGGCTCGGATTCGGAGTCCATGCCCAGAGCAAGTTCACTCTCATGTCGCCGGCTTCGACGGGGTGGACCAGATCAATCTCCACCAACTCCAGGGTACAAGTCCGGCTGATGATGCGCTCGGTGATGTCAGGCGCCCAAAGATGCATCGGGACGCCGTCGAGGCATAGCTTGACCCGGTACATGAGGGCGGAGCCGGCGGCGTTCTTCAAGCTGCGCCATTGAATGAAGTGGACTTCAATTCCCCGACCCTTGGCGAAGCCTGCTTAACAGCTTCCTCGCAATGGTGGCGGTGCTTGAACTTGAGGAGGAAGGCCTCTGGATAGTGGAGCAACACGGCGAGCTCCCCTGTGCGAAGGCCGAACTTGTCGGCGATGGTGCGCTCGACGTCTTTGGCGGTGACAGATGGCGGGGCACACATCGCCTAGGTGACCGCCGCTGTGCTCTCCCACTCGCGCAACTCCCCGTCGATGGCGTGCGATGTCGGGATGAAAACGACATCCTCGAGGGGGCGTGTCTCCGGGTCGCCCAGTTGCGCCATCACACCGGAGGGAGGTGGCGGTGGTGGTAGGTGAGCAGCTTCTCAGCGATTATGCAGCAGCGGAAAGCGCGGCGTGGCAGCGCGAAGGGCCAGCGCTTGCTGGCGCTCTCTGCGTGGTGGAGGATTGTCGTGGCGGTCACTCAAGGCATGTCGGCGGTGGGGGCAAGGAGTGCGAGATCTGCTTGTTCTTGGTGAGGCACGAGCAGCTCTGGTGGAGTGGTGCGACGAGGGGGAAGCTGCCCTTGGCAAGCGAGCTGATCTGGTGGGTGGGTGCGGCGGGCGGTGGGCGAGGCGAGGGGAAGTGCAATGGCGCGCCCTGTGTCCAGTACGATTACAGGTGAAACAACGCGGGGGGTCGCGGCACGCTGATGCCCGGTGGTCGCTGGCCAGGCAGACGAAGCAGCGTCCCCTGGTTCTTGCTCTGAATTCTTCCAGGGAGAGAGCGCCCCTTCTTCCAGGCGCATGTCCGGCGCCGTCTTGTCGCCTTGAATCGGGCCGTTGGCTCTGGCTTGAATGCCCCTTCTCTCTCCACCAGCGCCGAGGCTTTACCTTCGTCCATCCTTGCTCGGCCGGCATGAAAGCAGGACGCGGCTTGAATGCAGGGCTCGGCGTCGTACATCTAGGGAGGAGGATGTCCCTCCGCTCTCTCGGATCCAGCTCGTAGGCGCGGCGGTAGGCGTCGTGTCGCGGCGAAGGCACAGTAAAGACGGACTTCAATGTTGGGCGCGTCGGTGGTTGGGGAGCAGGCGGGCTAAGGATGGCGCCTGGAGAAGTGCGTACTGCATCAGCGAAGGAACATGGGCGGCGTGTTGCTGGTTCTGGGGTCGCGGAGACATGGGTAGTACTGTCCGGAGCTGGGCAGACGCCGGGCCGGGCACATGTGGAGGCGGTGGCGGCGGCGAGATCTCCCAGTAGGCGCCGCCGTTGGATCTTGGCGCGCTGAAGGTCGGGGCTGCGACGGCCGACGGCCAGGAGGCCGCTGAGGGGGACGTTGGGAACTGCGGGCGGCGGAGTAGCATGGGCGCCGCTGGCTGGGGCGCCGGCGGCAGCTGAGGTGGAGCGCGCGCTAGCATTTCAAAACTCCGGTGCACGTAGAAAATTAGTTCCTCTGTTCTACCAATGACTACAACCTAATTCCAGTACTGGCCATATTCTGCAAATATGATTGGAATTTTGTCCAAGCTGCTTGAATCCAATTGTTAATAGCAAATATACTTTTGGGCAATAGCGCTAAACTTAGATCTAATGAATGAAATTTATTGAGTTGATGCGACACAATAAGAGAGGAGGAAAATAACTTTAATTGTACTTAATGGGATGAACGGATTAATTTTTAGTGATCAACCAAATGATGTGATCAGCCAAATTAATCAGTATCGAGATACTAGATATGATCATATTTTATTTGTAGTACCATACGATCGGAATAATACCATAGTATTGGGATACTATCAAATTTTGGAAGTGCATATTTTAATATAAAATATATAATATGTTGTATCAATTAAAGCATATAATATTGATTTTGATAAATTTAAATGGTTTTTATATATGTAAATTTGAGCATATTTATTCATATTACTTTCGATGCACTTTATCATAAATGATATTTTTAGGATCGTAGGAATAAATAGAATCGCGATATTGCCTAAGATTTTGTAGGATCAACTGAAAATGGATATAGTACGTACGATCAGAGTACTAAGTTCTACTTTTAACCTTCCTCATTACAAAATCATTTACTGTTGACCTCGCAACTTAGTGGCTGAGCTCTTCGTTGGTGCCGGTGGTGGCGGCAGCGATGTGAGTGGCTGAGACGACGTCGTGTGGTTGAAGCACAGTTCTCTAGCAATGGCGGCACCAACATGCCTTCAACTACGGCATGAATCGGGATGGCCTAATCTAAGGGTGATGGCAGTATCTGACTAACATCGGTGACGCCCGTGCGCGCCACACTTTTTTTTGAGGCAATGTTGCGACACCCTTCCTTCGTGCTTTGGCATGGACTTTCTAGGTGAAAACACAAAGACAACCACACCCTAGATGTTGTGACCTTCTTGAAGGTGTCGTGTTGGAGATCCCCCTATTAGTGCGACGTCCTCGGTGGCGATGTCTTGCTGGATCAATTTGATGGTTAGGGTGGTGGTAAGATCTGCAAAAACAACTACTCTCCAACATCATCTTTTGTTCTGGTTTTTGTAACGTTGATGCCAGCGAAATTCGATCGGTACAATGATCGGTTGTTATTTCCGAAGATACTATTTCCTGATTCGAGGAAAACAAGACTACATGTAACTTGCAAGTTATTGGGATAAACAATGGTTATTCATATTTTTGCCATCTTTATCTTTAGGCACGTAGTATAGGTAGTTTTCTTGTTTTTAATCAAGTTGTGATTTTATAATTCGTAGTTATTCGATACGTACTCTATGTAATAATTAGCTGTAGCTGCGTAAAAAGGAAGTCTGTAACTTTTTCGAAGCAAAGTCGGAAATGAATTCCATTATCTAAATAAATCAAACATGAATAAAAATATGTTTTTCATGGCAAAACCTATATAGGAGTATATCATTGGATTGCTTCATTTATATACATGTGTTCCACATTTGTTTAACGGCATAGATCGAGGCTAGTTGATGTAGATTGATGGAAATGATTGCGCGTAATCATCTGTAGTGGCACATGCATGCGTATTAAAAAAAGGGTCAGCGTCCAGCATTTTCCTTCAACGTTGTGGACAAAAGTAATTGATGTTGTTGTATATCCTGTCTGGGTACAACTGTAGTTCGTTTTGGATATTTATTTATCCCGTCAATTTTTTTAAAACTTTAAGTATTGATATTTTAAAATTCTTAGGATGCGTACAGGATACTCGTGTGGATTGTCTTGAAAATAATTTTCATAATGGTATATATAATTTATTACACTAGTAATAGTCACCACATTAGCCTTTATTTGAAGATCTTGTCAATGTCCAGCTAGGAGTAAATATTTATAGCAAATTTGTGTAGAAAAACCAATAAAGATGATATCACATTATGAAAATTATAATGTCTATTTATTCCGGTTGGATTTTTATTAGAGTAAAGCTAGACTCACATATACACTCACGCGCATATATGATACATCAAACTTATACCCACGCATAACTACCTTGATGCGTCCTTAGCACACGTTTAAAAGAAAAAAAAGAGCCAAATCTTCTCCTACAAGTACCTTTCAACACAAGGAAAAAGAGAGGAAAATTCCTTAGATATTTTTTTGACGTCTACTTCATCTAACCAAAACATTCCCATATCTTTCAAGTCAGCTAGAATATTAAGTGAAAAACAGTTAAACCTTCAACTAAACCACCAGATCCTCACTAGACGCCTAGTCAACTACTAACGTGGTGCTAGTAGTTAATTAAGTGCAGTAGCAGACAGTGCCATCAAAGATGCCACTTGCCACGAAGCAAATTAACTATTTTCTGGCTTAAACCGCTGATTGTTGGGAAATTAATTAATCTAGCTAGGGCTCTGTGAACTGCAAACTCCAAAAGCGCGTGGAATTGAGGGAAAAAAAAGGATAACGTAAAAATGAAGGGCTTGCTTCAATTGAATCTAATTTTTGCATTACCCAAATGTTTACAACTTTAATAGTATTAGAGTAAATATTCACTTTGGTCCACCTAAAATGATCAAAGTGGCACATTGGACTATGGTAACCCTATATTTTCACTTTGGACGACCTATGTTTACCACCCATTGCAAGTTGGACTGAGTTTATAGTTTGAGTCACCTATTTAGCTTTGGCCCAATCGACGTGAGCAGCTTGTCCAGTATGTTCCGATGTCAAGGAAACTCTCTATCTTCGTCTTCACATCAGTGTGTAGTTGCCGCCATTAAACTCACAGCGAGTACAAGCACACCATTTGCCTTCCTCTCTTATTCTTCTTCTTGCTGAAGCACAAAGCCATGGATAGAGCTATGGAGGTGCGGCTATTTGGGGATGGCATAGGCTTTGCTGGTATAGGACACCGAGGCGGTGCTTCCCATGCGCTGACGCACGCCGCCACTGATGCGCTGCACCCTGCACGTGCTTGGTATCGCCCCATCACGAGCAGATACGCTGAGCTGCTCGCGTGGATCAGGCCGAGTGACTCAAAACTGCAAGCCCAATCCAACGAGCATATACATTTGCAATTTGTATTCTCTTCATCGACATACGTGATGTTGAGTTCCCCTCCCTGTAGAAAAGAACAATATATATACACACACACACAACAAATATGACAATGTATAGTACTCCATATTTAATGTAGTATGTGTCGGATACATCAATGTATTATTTATTGTAGTTGGGCTGCATTTCTTTCTTTTTCATTATACTTCATTGTCGGATACAACAATATATATTTATTGTAGTTTGGCCACATTTGTTTCTTTTATATTATTATTATTATTATTCAAGCAATTTCGAATTTTAAAGATTGATATTTACAAATTATTTATATGAACTTTTTACTTGTCTCGTAAGCAATAATAAAACAAAGACAGACTTGTCATCATAGTTTATTTTTTTATATTAGCTTTTAAATCACTAACAACATCTAGAAAATTTTTATTCATATTTTTGTAATTCTTCGTTTATTTTCTCCAGAGCTTTACCGTCGAGCAAATGACGAGGGACTATCTCTCGTCTTAAATTATATAAGGCACTGTAGTTATATAATATAGAAAAGGAAAAAGAAAAATCTAAATACTCCTCTAAACTTTGGATGAAAGTTCATCTAGCACCTTCTTGAACTTTAAACTAGACATCCAACCCCCTAAAATTTGCAATACCGTTCATATTACCGTCTAAACTTTAGATGAAAGTCCATCTAGTACCTTGAACTTTAAACTGGACATCCAACCCCCTAAAATTTACAATACCATTCATATTACCGTCTAAGGTGGTTTTGCATATATTGAAATCTTAATCGAACAACTTTGAATATCTAATATAACATTTTGCATATTATCAGTTACAAGTTGTATAATTTAGACTTATACAATGATATCAATATTATTATTATGTTCGTATTTGTGAGAGCTAACAAGGGATAAAAAGAAAGATCTAAGTGTAGATTTTAATATACATGTTTAATGTGTATGTCATGTAATTGAACATAAACACTACTGTGCAAAAACATCTTATGGAGTTATATAAATGGTGTCGTAAAGTTTACTGAGTTGAATGTTCGATTTCAAAGTTCAGTTTGCGTGGGCTTCTACAGTTCCACCCAAAATTTTTTAGGGGATATTTGGACTTTTCCCCGTAGAAAATGATGATATCTAGAAGTTAGGTATTTTCTATCTGGTGCTTCTCAAAATCTGCTCAACCACAGTCCTAATTTCTATAGAACTAATCTACTCGTCCGTCCCATAAAAAACCAACATAATACTTGATGATGTAATACATTCTAATACAGTAAATCTGGACATACTCCCTCCGTCCCAAAAAAACCAACCTAGGAGGGGATATGATTTCTCCTAGTACAACGAATCTACACATCTCTTTGTCTAGATTCGTTGTTTGTCTAGATTCGTTGTTGTGACATCTCTTAGATTGGCTTTTTTTTTTTTGGGACGGAAGGAGTATATATGTCTAGATTTATTGTATTAGAATAGATCACATCTAATCCTAATTTGTTTTTTTTGGCGGAGGGAGTAGTAATTAGAGGGACTCTTATGGAAAACTACCACTCCTTTCCTTTGATCCTTTTCCATCTCCAAGAGGACCAAAACTGCAAAAAAAAACACACGAGCAGAGCAGGAAGCAACTTGAAACTGCAAGCTTTCCTCTTCTTTCTTCTTTCTCAACAAACCCAAACCCAGTTGCAGCTGGCAGGCAGCTGCGCTCTTCTTTTTCTCCTCATTGTTTTCCTCGCGTGGTCTCCCGATTCGTGCGCCGTGTGCATCGCCATTAGTAGTCGCTGTCACGATCGAGGATCACCACCTCTCTCCAGCTCCAAATCCACCTCCCCCCCCCCCCCCACCACCACCACCACCACCACGCGGTCGCCGCGCCGAGCTGTCCTCCCCCACGCCGAGATTTGATTCTTCCTTCTTCTTGTTCTTGCGCCACCGCGGATTCTTGTACCAGCTGACACTACCGGGGCGGTGGCTGTGCTCCTTGGATTGTTGGATTGGTTGGTTTGGGAAAGGTTAGGCGCCCTCCTTTCGCTTGGGTACGCGTCTCTCTGTTTTTCGGTTCTTGGTTTGTTTGGTTCGAGAGGCTTGTAGTCTCGCGGATTTGTTTTTCGTTGCAGAGATTATTAGGAGTTAATCTGTTCTTCTTGGAAGGAGGTTCAGTGATTGAGGATTTGATCCAACTGTGAGAAAAATCTTGGCCCTTTTGGATCTGGGAGCGGTGCAAAGCTACTGGAGCGCCTCACATGTCCACAAGTGCTCGATTTTAGCAGTTTCATGGGTTATGTTCTTGGATTCAGTAGATTTCTGATGCAGACAGTAATTTTTTACCGAACAAGTAATCGGTGAATTTACAGTTTTTTCTTTCTTTCTTTATTACGAGAGGACGAAGCTCTAGTTCACTGTACCTTGTTTATTATCGCTTCCTCCTCGTGTAAAGGATCAATTTTTACGATAGCGATCGTGAGTGGTTTAGCTCCCCCTCTCTCTCTCTTGCCGCTGGGTGCCTTGCTGGTCCCGTTGCTTTCAGATGCTGCTTTATTTGTCTCCTTTTGCCCAATTTGCGTGTACCCTTGTGCCCTTATCTCCTATGGTTGCTTCCACTGTCACCAAAGGGGGACTCGCCATCTACCTTGTTCCTCAGTTCATGCGAATTTCATGCGGTCCTGGGCTGTGACTGGGAGTAGATTGAGGTCAATATGCTGTCAAAGGCATTTCTTTTCTTTTCCTTTTCGTTGCTTGTTTTCCCCTTCTGATGTTGTGTGTTGAGTTTATTGTTTGGTTTGCTGGTAGATCCAGTATTTGGATCATTTTTCCTTTTTTTTTTCTTTCATTGCTTCTGCGGAGGGATGAGTTTGTGCATGAATCTTTTGTTGGTTGGATTCGCTTAGTTTTCACACTAGTCCTTTGATTCAGCGCAAATCTTTGTTAATTGGCTCGCTTAATTCTGACATAAAGTGTTCCTTCTTGGGTTCTGCTTGCAGGGTTGATCTCGTTTGCGGAGTAACAAATTTGCAAGCCTACAACTGCTAGGGAGAATTTGACTAAAAATGGGGTCGTGTTGCAGCAGAGCTACGTCTCCAGATTCTGGTCGAGGAGGAGCAAACGGTTATGGCTATTCTCACCAGACAAAACCTGCTCAGACAACTCCTAGCTATAACCATCCTCAGCCGCCGCCGCCAGCTGAGGTGAGGTACACACCATCAGCAATGAACCCTCCGGTAGTCCCACCTGTGGTTGCCCCACCGAAGCCCACCCCAGACACAATTCTTGGAAAGCCGTATGACGATGTGCGCTCGGTTTACTCCCTTGGAAAGGAACTCGGAAGGGGACAGTTTGGGGTGACATACCTGTGCACGGAGATCGCTAGTGGTAAGCAGTATGCTTGCAAATCCATCTCTAAGCGCAAGCTTGTGAGCAAGGCCGACAAGGAGGACATTCGCCGGGAGATTCAGATCATGCAGCACCTATCTGGACAACAAAACATTGTCGAGTTCCGGGGAGCATATGAGGACAAGAGCAATGTCCATGTTGTCATGGAGCTCTGCGCTGGTGGGGAGCTGTTTGATCGGATCATTGCCAAGGGGCACTACTCAGAGCGTGCGGCTGCTACCATCTGCAGGGCAGTGGTGAATGTTGTCAACATTTGCCATTTTATGGGAGTGATGCATCGTGATTTAAAACCGGAGAACTTCTTACTTGCAACCAAAGAAGAGAATGCAATGCTCAAAGCCACTGATTTTGGTCTCTCAGTTTTCATTGAAGAAGGTAACTTGAATAATTTAAGATGCATATGCTTGAGAATTACACCTTCTGCTGTACAGGCTATATTGCTAGGGCTAGAATTTCATAAATGGCCATATTTCTAGTTTGAAAAGTTTTTCATTTTGTTTATTCTGAATTATGGAGAATTTGCCTATCACGGTATGTTATGGGCCACCGTTTTGTGACTTGAATCATATCGTAATTCTAAGTTGTCTCACAAACCTACTTAGGATTCACAGAGACAGCTAAAGTTGCTGTTTTTGGGTTGGTCGTTACAACATCTATATTTATCCTTGTATCCTTCAACCTAATATCTGCATCTTTGTATGATATGAGACATCTGTTTCTATAAATGACATGGTTCCACAAAATTTATTGGTAAAATGAAATTATTAGCACCATGTTATTATTACTGCCATAGTGCCATTCCAAGGTATTCATTCTTTAAAGGCATGGAGGATGATGTAGCAAGCACCATCTGTTGTATTAGCTCATATGAGAAAGTCCTCCCTAGCCACTGAGGTTAAGACTGCTTGACCATTGATTGTTATCGACTCCAAGTAGTGGAAAGATGCAAATGGGATGTAAATGATAGCAAACTAGTTGTCACTGGCTGTTACTTTTGGGGAGGTGTATAACTATTGTACACATTGACAAATATATTAGAGCTTTTATGCTACCTGAAAACTAAGTTGAACAAATTTAAAGTATTATATTTTGGTGGTGGGGTTGCAGATGCTGGTAGCTGGTGCTGGGTAGTTGCAAATAACACCTAAATGTGCTTTAAGCTTCCTGCTTTTCAAATGTGGGGAAAGCATGGAAACTTTTCCACATGACTAGTTACCAAATAATGATGTTCTTTTGGTAGTGGTATGGCATGGTATGGTGGTAGTGATGAGGATGTGATGGAGGCAGAGATAGTTCCTAACTTCCTGTCTTCTCTTCTTTCCTTGTACATTTTCATCACTGCCGGTCTGCATGTCCGACCCTGAATACAAAATACTGCCATGATTTATTTTACAGCTTTGCGTTACATGATTTTTTTTTTGTCAAAGATAGCATGTAATCTCTATTTTTTGGCATACTCTCTTCTATATTTGGTGTGTGGGGAATGTGTAGTAAGCCCTAACCACCTTCCATTCTCTGTAATCCTTCCCAGTTATCATCTAGGGTTTATTTAATTGATATTGGCCCGCTGTGATTGTGTGTGAGCTGAGCCATTTTCCCTCTCTCTTTACATTCACATTTTTTATCTTGACAGTTTATCATGTTCTTTTTAAAATGCAAGCACCAGCCTTCATCAATTTGTATTTTGTCTGATTCATTAACCAAATAGAATTCGATGTGACAAACTATGTATATTTTTTATGATCAATATTATAATATCCCAAGTTTCCAACATTTCTATCATTATTACTATCTAAACCATAATTGTTGCATACCATATATCCTGTTGTTCATGTATATTGACTTCCTTCAAATATCAGGAAAAATGTATAGAGACATTGTTGGAAGTGCTTATTATGTTGCTCCTGAAGTCCTTCGGCGGAATTATGGTAAAGAGATTGATGTATGGAGTGCAGGCGTTATTTTGTACATTCTTCTCAGTGGTGTTCCTCCATTTTGGGCTGGTACGTTTGCTTATACCATCCATTTTTACTTCCAGTTCATAAATCCATATATACAATTAAGCAGTGGTGCATTGTTTGATTGTTATTAATTTTCTGTTTTGCTTTCCAGAAACTGAAAAGGGAATATTTGATGCTATTCTTCAAGGGGAGATTGACTTTGAGAGTCAACCATGGCCATCAATATCCGAGAGTGCTAAAGACCTTGTTAGAAAGATGTTGACACAAGATCCAAAGAAAAGAATTACTTCGGCCCAAGTTCTCCGTAAGCTTCTTGAGTCTTAACCATACATTAAACTCCTAATATTAGTCCAAATTGCAAAAGAAATGATGGTTTCTATGTTATCAGAACATCCCTGGCTCAGAGATGGAGAAGCATCTGACAAACCTATTGACAGCGCTGTTCTTTCTAGGATGAAGCAATTCAGAGCAATGAACAAGCTGAAAAAGATGGCTCTGAAGGTTATTATTGTCATGCCGATAATTTAGTTGCCTTTTCTTCTCTCGTGCTTACAGGCAATTGTATATGCAGGTTATTGCTTCAAACCTTAATGAGGAGGAGATCAAGGGCCTGAAGCAAATGTTCACAAACATGGACACAGACAACAGCGGGACCATCACATATGAAGAACTCAAAGCAGGATTAGCCAAACTTGGATCAAAGCTTTCAGAAGCTGAAGTAAAGCAGTTGATGGAAGCTGTATGGCACCAATCCTAGACTGTTACAGTATTTTTCTGAACCATGGTTTATTGACCTTTTATGCTGACCTTCTCTGATCCATTCCAGGCTGATGTAGACGGCAATGGATCCATCGACTATGTTGAATTTATCACTGCCACAATGCATAGACACAAGCTCGAAAGAGATGAGCATTTGTTTAAGGCATTCCAGTATTTTGACAAAGACAACAGTGGGTGAGTATTCTGAACTGTCACATTGAAAAAAACTCACAAGTCGCAGTATTTTCACAATGGCAGTCCGCCAAATATGATTATGATCATAATTCACAGGTTCACATTTTATAATATCTAGTGCTCACTAGTCTAGAACCATCATTGGAAAAAGGCAGTTGTACAATGCCATCTGCGCATCAAACTCCCCATGGTTGATCTGACTAGAGAATTACCTCAATTTTATGCAGCTTCATCACAAGAGATGAACTGGAATCCGCTTTAATCGAGCATGAAATGGGCGATACAAGTACCATAAAGGATATTATATCAGAAGTCGACACGGATAATGTAAGTTCCTTTGCCAAACAATCGGTTTTTCCATGCCACATTACAATTTCCTTCCATGACAGTGATTCTTATTTTTGGGGTATTACAGGATGGGAGGATTAACTACGAGGAATTTTGCGCTATGATGAGAGGAGGGGGGATGCAGCAGCCTATGAGGCTCAAATAGTCTGTTTCCTTGTAGAAAATGATGTACAATTACATTAGTAAACTGTTTTCGCCTTCTTTTTTTTGTTCCATGGATGGTAGTCGACGGATAAAAGGTTTACCCTGGACGCAGCTTTTGCATTGTTGAGATGATTGTGTATATTTTCTTGCCTTGCCCGTGTATGGTGTAGTGATTTGAATGTCCTCCCTTTTGTAAGTTGTTTCTGCAAGTACACACAATAAAAGAGCATTTTTGCACCTCAATTCTTCTGCAAAACTCGTTTCTATATCATCACATTTCCGAGAGGATTATTGGTTTAGTTGTATTTGACATCAGAGGTGTCAAATCTCTATCAGGCCTGGGGAGCAACACATCATGTATGTGGCTTTTGCTTTCAGGAATTCAGGGCATGTTTTCAACAAATGACAATTTTATAGCGAATACCGCAAATTTACAGCATCTAGACATCTGATAAAAAACTGGACCACAGGCACAGCCACAGCCAATAAGATGTCAGGAAATATTTTGTATGATACTTAAATGTTGATAGATGCTTTGCTATTGAGAAAAGTCTGAACAAACTTCCTTCTGAAGTAACAAACAAATAGTTTAATTCTCTGGATTAACCAGAAACGGAGTAAGCAAAATTGTCATACACCACAACCTACAGCACATGGATTTTGGACAAGTCTTTCGCTTTGTTAGGTTGCCCGGCATTTGACATCAACCACGAGATGTCGTATATGCGGACCGTACCATTTGACGCGTTCGACATGCTCCACCGTGACGTTCCAAGACAGTCCTGAGACAAAAATGAAAAGCAACGGTAGCATAAGATGGTAATTTTAACCGTGTCGAATGCTTCGCAACTCTTGTGTGTATAAAAGGGCAAATCGTACCATGTGTTTTGGCAATGTTAGTGATGGACTTAACAACATTGTCCAACCAGAGCGACTCATCCGAGTCGTTGACATTCCCATGTATGTGCAGCATGCCACCTTCAGCCCTACATATGAAGTAAAACACAGCAGAGTCAGAACTTCATATGTTCGTCGTGTGTTCGTCGTGCATCCAGCACATCAACAAGCCACTAACAAATTGTGTTCCGACTCTCAACTCTCAAGGTGAAGTAACCATGTAATTTAAAGCATATCCAGTTGCTTTCAGTGCCCTGTATGTTTTCCAATATAATGTCTAGTAATATTTTTTCTTTTGCAAAGTTATACTACATTCTTCTGGATATTTTGAGATGCACATGAAAGCCTAAGAGAACTTCAGAAACGTGGCACTGTCCCATCAAAAATACCACTAGAACCACTAGCTCTGCATGTTGACGATAAGCACCCTGAAAGAACCACCACGCAGGCACTTTCAGAGTGCCAATTGACAAACAACCTAACTAAAGATTGCCTAGCTTGCAACTACCAACCGTCACTTAGTAACAAAGATAGCTTAGGAGCTACTGCTCAGCCTATATTCACGTTTTTAGGGGTTACAAAGATAAGCACTTAAGAGCAGACTTAGAGGTCACCAGTTGGATGATGATAGGCTGCAGGGAACTGTTGGCTTAGGGATTTTGTTTATTCGAAAATCTTTGAGCTATTCCAAGCGTTTATTTCCCTTTCTTCAAAGTTTAAAACAATCGTGAACTTTAACATGATATGGCTTGAATTCACCTTGTGAAAGCTCAATCAAACACATTCTTAAAAAAAAAAACAAACCAATATACCAATACAAGTGCACAAGTCAAGCTTGGCAAACCTGAGCTAGGCCTCTCTGTATGTATATAATATTGCCTAAATCTGGAAAGAACTCTGGGGAGGTTTACCTTAAAGCCCTCACAGCAGTGTCCCAGCTACATTCACTCGAGGGCAACAACCCAAGACAAACACGGTCAGCAATCCCCTAATATCAGTTAAAGAAGTAAATGGTTAGAAGCCATCCTAGTGCAGGTAGATCAACAAGTAAACTTTGGAACCAATATTACTTTAGGTGCTGTCAAACGGTTATCTCCTTCAAGTATAATACATCGATCTGCCACATGGTTGTCCATGACATTACGTTGAAGAGCCTCCAGGGCATGTGGATTCCATTCACATGCGTAGACTAACTTGGCATTAGCCCTATAAAAAAAGGGAACACTTATTTTGTAAAATCACTTATTAACATTTAGCAGTTAACCAAGGGCTATCGTATATAACATACTTCACAAGAAATGGTAGAACAAAGTATCCAATCCCTGCAAACAAGTCCACCACCACTTCATCCCTACAATCAAGCTTCCCCATGCGAAGCTTCTCAGACCGGTTACCAGAAGAAAACATGCATTTTGTTGCATCAAGTGAGTAACAAATGCCATTTTCATGATGTGTCAACCACCCGTCATTGCCCACTAGAAGTTCTAAAGTGCTATCTCTTGTGCCATTTGGTGTGATTTTACCCTGTGAAGAAGATGAGATGGGTTCAGTTGAAAGCATCGTCAGAAGAAATACTTTGAACATGATAGGTTATGAAATATCTGTTGCTAAGTTACTAGGTAAGAACTACCTTACTTCAGCTACTAGGTAACTACTACTACCTACCTTACTGTGCAAGTATTTAAAGTATGGAGCACCATAATTGCAACAAGATATTCTATATAGGAGGTTTATAGCAAGTCACGTTTTTCATTTGATTACACAAAAAAGGATATAAATCACATGTTAAGTATTATTTACAATCATTTTCCTACCATCAATAGTTGAGAGTTCAGACATCACTTACCTGGCGTGCAAGGCGTTGTGCCCCAAGTGACTTTGCAACTAGTGGCCAAAGATCATCTCTAACTGATTCCCACAGTGGATCCTTAAAGCAAGTTTTTGGAAGCACAATAATATCACCAAGGGTTTCCCACCTAAATACAAAAAAAGAAAGAAATACATACAGATCAATGATAAAAATGTGTTGCTTTTCTTAGATTATTATGTATTTATTATTTATATTTCATACTCCATTTAAGATCAGAGACCAAACCTAGTTGGCAGCTGCTCCAATAACTGGCTAGGCAATCCTTTTTTATCCAGTAGAACAGACACAAGCTCTCTCATGATGGTTTGAGGAGTTTTAGAAGCTTTGCGGCTGATCGCTACTTCATCTTTCAGAATGGAACCACGGCATAACAACAAAATTTCTAGTGCTTTCTGAAGAGAAATGCTGGCCCCAAAAAGCTTATTTTCAGAAAACGGCAATAGTTCTTCAAAAACACATGAATCATCAGGTTGTACCTTGAGATGCTTATCAGTGATTAGGGCATGAAAAGTTTTACTAACAGGAAAGAGAACATGGATGTTATCCTGGCTTACTCGAACTTTTCTAGTAAGATCCAACCATCCAAACTTTTTTAGAATGTCTTTTGCTAATTTGGCATACTTCTTTTCTAGCTGAAGGACCAAAGGAGATGAACCTAGAGTAGCAGTATCAATCACCACCTTCACATTATCACTGGGATTGCAATTTTCCTCATGTCCTTCTAATAAGTCTACATTCGACACTGAACCGTGTTGTACAGACATTTCTTTTTCCTTGTTGTATGCAAGCTTAAATATTGACTCCAGCAAATGCAGATCAATTTTTATTGGCTGACTGAATCTAGTTCCAAATGCATAGCAAGACGCACCACCACCAACAATGACAAGATCATCATCAATGATGACTGATGAGCTACGGACACAAAGGCATTGGCTCAATGATGGAATGGATACATAAAACCAGATTTTATGCTTTAAATTTAGCAATGCAATTTCTTGACTGCTTTCTCTAATAGGACAACCTCCAAGTATGCCGAGATAGTCTTTGTAGATGAACATGCAATGTGAAAATCTAGGGGATGGAGCTTTCCCATTAGTGTTTTCTTTGTTCCACTTAAGTGTTGTTGTATCAAAACTATAGAAATCATTCAGTGCCCTCTGACCATCATGACCTCCAAACAGAAACAATTTTGAACCATAGGACACTAGAGAATGCGAGTGGCGAGCACATGGCCATTTGTCATCAGGAGAAATCACATTCCATTGGATACTTGCTGTGTCCATTATGTTCATGCAAGAACATAAGCCATCATCACTTAGTCCACCAAAGACATATACTTTGCGATCTACTGCAGCAGCAGCATGTCGGTGCCTGCATTGAAAAACACATAACTTCCCTGAAGCAAATGGGTTGCTATTTTCAAGAAACTAATTCCATAACTTTTGGACATAGCTAGTTAGCACTATTTTTAGCATTTTTTTATTTGGTACAAAAGAAAATTAGATATAAAGAATTTCGTCTAAACAATACCTTGGACGGAAAAAATCCCCACTGCAGTCCACTTTTGACCATCTATTGTTAGATCTTTCCAAAACCCAGATATCATTAAGAATTTCTGAAGGACCACTTCTGCCTCCAACAACATAAATATCATTGCCTACTACAGTAATTGTATGGCCCATCCGTGGTGAAGGCGACCCAGTAACCTTTAATTCTGTCAGCAATCCTGACCCAGGATTAACCAGAAGAGAGTAATTTCTTCTTGCGTGCCTCCCTGGCCCTCCAAAACCACCAAAAGTTAGGATATGGTGCTCTCTTCCAACAGTGAGTGCACAAGCAGATTGTCCCCATAAGAAGAGCTTCTCAATAGGTTCACCAGTAATCTCCAATGCAGCAGTAGAAAGGCAGTGAGTTGTATTTCCTGACAATGTTGGCAATGCTTCCTCTTGTGTTAATCTACAGAAGAAAATAAACGGAATAATAGGGTTTAGTCATATAAAAAGAGCTCTGTATCTAGGATAAATATATATAAGAGCTGCTGAGTTATGAGTTAGAATTGAAAAGACTATGTAGCCAACTGGCACGGTAATATTTCCAATTTAATGCCATAAAAAAATATGGCTTACTAAATGCCCTCCTGTGAAACAGTGCCAGCATCACCAAATTTCATTTTCAAATAACATTTATTGACTTTATTGTACAAGATCAATGTGCAGAACTGAATCAATAGGCCTAGCATACATAACTAACATGTACTTATGTATTGATGGTAATATTCTCTTAGACAAACCAAAATCTCCTCAACATATGTATGGAAGGACTGAACAGGCCAATAGGTTTACATGACACCATGAGGGGAAATAAAAGCAGGATAAAAGGAAAGAGATATGAGAACATGCCGTTTAGCATTACCAAAACCATGCTTGGCACCATTTTGAAGTACAGGGTCTTGACTCTCCAAATATGATGCTTCTAG